CCCATCTTGTCCCAAAAGTAGATTTGATGGAAAATAGAATGGTATGAGCTGCAAATGCTCATACCAAGGTCACCAAGGTCACACCCTTCCCTACCTTGCCAGGGAGGGCCAGTGCTCCCTTTAACATGAGAAAATTTGAGAGGGGTGGAAATCAAATCTAGACATTGTAGACCACTAGAATCCTCACACCTCATACTCATGTAACATCCTAACAGCACAGTTATGTTATAGCGTTCAGAATTTAGCGTAATACACCATGGCAGCCAGAAAAGAGAAGGATCTCTGGAGCGCAGAGCTGGCACCTCAGTAAGGAGGGACAGCAGGCAGGTCTGGCCACTGTTAGCAGCTGGAAATCAATCTCACGCACACTTGAATTCTTTTCATCTTGTGCCATTCAATTAATTCTGCGCATTTTACTTTCTTCAACACTTACTCAGAGAATGTTTTCCACCTAAAACACCCTAAACTATTGAAAATAGATGGAGTGCTTTTCCCTCTCTTAAGTGACAGTTGTTGGCATCAAATCAATATTCATGTTGACTATTCAAGAGAAAACAATATAGTTTCTGAAAACAAACTGAAAGAAAAGTGTGTGTGTTGGGAAGGGGAGGGCGGTGTCAGTTAGTGCCTATAAATAACTCATTAATACAGGAAAAAATAAAGGCCTGCAGTAAGAAATTTACTTTCTATTACTTTACACAGCCTGTATAAGGGAAACAGAAGCTATCCATGGAAACTCTTCACTGTTACTGTCAGTGCAGTATCTGCCATGGGAGTCAGCACTTCCAGCTTCCAGTGCCAGTTACCAAAACACTTTAAGTCGTTCAAGATCTCAGGTGATCTATTAAGGGACATCTTCTCATCCCCAGTACAGTGGGACAGGTACCAGAAGGTGCAGAACATAAGAACGAAAGGCTAAATGAATCACAGTGTTTGTAGGAAAAGGCTGTAGAAATACTGCAAGGAGGGAAGGGAGCATCTCCTTCCTCCCAGCCATAGTCAACAGCTATTTGTGTAATTGCATTGGCTGACTTCTTTAAAAATAGCTAATGCTGAACATAGCTGATCTAAATAAAAAAATTACAATTTTTACTACTAAGAGTATATGCAAACACTCCCCCCTTCACACTAAGCTTTTGCAAAACAATTAGAAGTGTAATTTCAATAATTGATAGGATTGTCTTTGACTTGCTTTGTTGGGTCTCTATCTCCACCTGTAAAATCTTATCAGGTGTAACCATTACTAAGTTAAACGAACTTTGTTTTGGTTTTAACAGCATAAAGAATGGCAAATGCTGTGGAGTACACAGCAATTGGTGAAGCATGACACTAACACCGTATTTTTCTTAAACTGGAAGGCCTAGGATATCTTCAGTTTCTCTCCACAGGAGCAAGCAGATACTTCTTCTATTTCAGTTTCATTGTGCTCTGAATAATGTTAAACCTTCAGCACTGAGCAGCCGGCATCCCCTTTCCAACATTCAGGCCAATGATTATCACACGAGAAGTGAGCTGGAAAACTCTGTTGTCATGTTGTGAGAAGCTCTGAGTAAAAAACCAGTCTGAAATATAATCCATATTTAAATAGCTCCAGCAGGATATTTCATAGAGCATTAAAAAAATAAAAGGATAAATAATTCCATAAGCTACTCAGTTTTCACAACGCAGTACCTAAATCACCATTTCCTAACATAGCATCAAGACGTAGGCCCTCCTCCTATAGCAGCTTCAATAACACAGGAAGAGGTCTACATCAGGCATTAAGATAAAAGATTTTCTACTGATAGATTTTCTGAAACCTTCAGGAACTACTAGTAAAAGAGAAATCAGCGGATTATTTTTAAGGGGAGCTGTAAATGGTCCTTCTCACAGCTGAGGAGGCTCAGAAACACATAGACAAACAAGCATTTGTCTATAAACAGAAACAAGCCTGATTGGAATTAGCCTGATTGGAATCAAGCCTGATTGGGAATTAAGCTAGCAACAAAAATATGGCTCGCTAACTGTTTTCCTGTCCCAGTATCTTCATAATCTTTTCTGGCCTGCGTGCTACTTCACGTGCCATTGATGGCCAAATCCTGGTCACTTCCTAAGTGATTCCAAGTCTGTGAAATTCAATGACACTTCACCATTTGCTTTAGTGCAGCCAATTTGTGCACCTGGAACAGATCTAGATGGACTTTCAAACCGCTCAGGAAAAAAAACACCTGCCTTTAAATAGCTATTTTTATGATTGAAAAGTGTTCTGCTGAACATATTCCAGCTAGTAGAATATTCCCTCATTGCTATGAAAGCTACAATGCCCCTGCATCCTTCAACGTGTCTTAACTAAATGACGGCTATAATTAATTAAAGAAAAATTGCATTGGGTAGGATGGGCACCTTCAGGACAGTTAAAAAGAAACATTCTGATACAAAAAAGTTGGCCTGCTATTCCTGTCCTCCCAAGATCTACTGCAATTATAGGCTGACAAGTTAACAAAAGCATTTCTAAACAGTTGTAAGAAATCAGCCATCTGATTTAAGAATTCTGTTCCTCAGTTAACTTATTATTCAGCTACTGAAAACTTCATTTTCCCATCTGTGAGATGACAAAGTCCAATGAAAACAATATTAGTATTTATGTTCTAAATAGCAAAAGCTTTCAAAGCATGTTCATAAAGTGGAAAATAAAAGCAGAAGTGTATCCAAAACTTTCTGGCATTTTGCATATTTAAAATTTTTCAGCCCTCCTGCCAGGATTTGTTGGCTTAAGAGCAAAAGGTTATATTTTATAAAAGTTATAATTATGGGTGGATAGTGATTTCACTTTTACACCATTTGAATGGTAAGTCTCTATTATATGGGTCAGTTAATTTTACTACAGTTCATGCTGCTAAGAATACCTATTCCAAAACTGCCCGCTGATGAGAAAAAAATATATTTATTTGGGCTATTTTAAATGATTCATGATGGTAGTGTTTATGTCTGATATAAAGATCATTTAATGTGTGTGTGTATATGCACACAAATCAGAGCTACCTGTAAAGAAGATAAGGATATGGCAATACTTTGGAATTGTCAGTGAACTTTTTTTCTTTCATATACAGGGTGTCATTTTCAATTAATCACATTGCTTTTTTATGAAACGTGTGATATCAAATACCCTATGTTAACAAGAAAAACTTGACCATCATGAGAAGTAGCTCATGGAAAATTAACTATTTTGTCTCAAACAATTCTGTAAGTCCTTAAGCATGGAATGCTTTCCTCATATTGCAGCTCACCAACACTTCCTGCTTTTCTGGTCAGACAGATACATTCAAAAAAGGTTCTGTCAGTACATTCACCTACTAAGATTACATGAAGCATCATTCTAATGGTCTCCATTTACCCAGCGATAGAACACGTAAAAAAGCAGCAACTTCTACACGTATTTTCCTCACATCCTCCTAACAGCCACAGTCATACTATTACATTAGTTTGCAGTTCAAGAAAGAAACTCATCTTTTAGGCAAGAAACATGACTCCCACTCGGCCCTCCTGGCAGTAGAAGTATAATTGTCACAAAATATTTAGGCCTTTGAATTCACACATACTGTCAAGTAGCAATGGGTACCTCTCTGTGACGGTTGACACTATTTTTTCCTTTTCACATATTGTTGGGAACCCCCTGTCCCTGCACACAGCAGAAAAAAAATCCAGCCCTTTGTTTACAGTTTCCACACTCACAAGTGGGTACCATACGAAAATTCAGGATGTTAAGTCTGGAGAGTGAGGAAATCATAATAAGAAAGAGATTTCTTCCAGACTACTAAAATTTTAAAACTTAATTTTCATTTTAAACTGGAGAGGAGTGGTGGTAGAGTGTGTGTCTTTAAAGTGAGAGATTTAGGGTTTTTTTTTTACTCTGTGTCTCAGTAGTGATACTCTGCTACCTTTCTGTGAAAAGTACTTGCCATTTCTTCTTTATCTAGAAAACTAACGCTATTCTAATTTAACTCGTAGTATGTATTATTACAGTATAAACCCAACAATGAAGATGAGGTGAGTCATTTGTGTTTATGCACATTAAAAAAATCTATGGCTGATCAGAGAACAAGGATAGTGAAAAAAGTCTCTAAAATACGCATCTCTTCCACAGTTCATTGGGCTCTCTGGACTACAGCTGCTGCTTTTCAGGAAAGGGGAATGTGCCACAGACTTCAACAAACTCCTTCCTGAGGTGTTGTAGGCTGTTTATGTAAGGCAGTTAATTTTTTTACTGCTGTGACTTGGCACCATCATGTGGCCACTTTGAGTTTGCTCAATCTAAGTAACAATTTACATAGAAAAACGTTTGCAATTACTTAATTAGAAGTTACAAATTATTTCAGCCTCTTTTAGAAGGACACAGCACATGAATACATGTTTGCTAAATTCTGAACACGTAGTCTTCCAATTTCCCTTTCTTCCCCTGAATCCACGCTCATTTAATCACGGTTTTCCTCACGATCTTTAAATCAGAAGTTATTAAGCTACAAAAGTTAGAGACATTTTCAGTGCTTGGTCTTTGTCGAAACTTGACTTATGTACAAAAGTTAGTATCATATTACAGACAACTAACCTCTTCCTCATTAGAAGAGCTTTGGAAATTATTTGCAGGATTAAATAGGTCCGTATTTTCTGTTTTACAGCAGAACTCCCAAAGGATTTAGAATTCCAGTAAATCGCAGAAGAATACTGTTTACATAGTTTAATTCAAACAGGTAATACACATATCAGGACAACGTGAGTTAGTCAGGTACTCCTCTTGCAAAGTTTCAGAGTCAAAATCAGAAGATATCATGAGATGTAAATTTGTATTTTGATATGTTCACAAAATGATTTCAGGTACATTTGATTTTTAAGTTTTACTGAGTGTAAAAGGCCCAGAGGCAGAAATCTTCATACATTCAGGTTGCTTATACAGAGGCACAACTTTATGCTCACCAAAGGACGACTATCCTTTATGTCAGAGAGGAATAATGAGAAACAGCAGTGTAATTTATAAGAATATATTTTCGGTATTTTAAAAAAAACTATATACATCTAGAGTACTTTCAATAATGAAACACAGTTCATGATTTCTTTGAGTACAATAACGCTAAATTCAGTTGTCATTTTTATGATAAAATACATCATTTCAGCTGAAATATTGTATTGATATTCTCTAAAATATATACAGATACAAAATTACATAACAAATCTTTTAAGTGCAGTCAAAAATAATGTAAATATTTTGCAATAATTTGTACACCCAGAGAAGTATACTGTTTCTAGAAAGACTGCAATAAAATCAATTGTAGTTTTTCAGACTCCTCAGGTCGAGCTAATGCCCACTTCTTCTTTACATACTGAATGTCTATCTCTCCAGATTCTTTGGCCAGTGCAAGGCCCAGTGATCCATTTGTTTTTTCTGGCTCTCCCAGTAGAGCCATAGTTAGAATGCTGAAATTAGAAGAACAGGGGAAGAGTTTTCAGCTGAGGTAAAATTAATAGAAATTGGTGTTTTCAAACATCTTTTTAGCAGTTTACTCATACTTTACTAAATGATGCATTTTTTCTGCTCATCAGAGTGTAATATTCCTACTTCAAGTCCCAGCACGTTCTTTAAGTTTTCACCAGCTGCAATCATTTAATGTAAATATAAACAGGCAATTCTTCCCCTGCTCACAGATTCCATCACCAATTTCTAATCAGGACTTAAAAAATTATTTTAAACTCATAAAAATTAACTACTTTTTATGGTATTTTTCAGTACAGTGTAACAGCTTTAAAAATTGTATCATTTTCTCCCCAAACTAGTAGCACTTTGCTATAGGTTACGAGGCTACAAGGAAAACTTTAAGCTAGAGGGATGGATATTCACCAAGACTAACTTAAGCCCAGGGAAGACAGAGTCTCCCAGTAGGTCTCCCATCAGGGCGGAAAGAGAATCCTCAAGATTATAGTTCAGAAAAATTACATTAAACTGCTTTTCTGCATCAATCTACAGGACACCCAGGTCTCTATAGTTACTACAGGAACAGCATGGTGAGACTACCCTGATGTTAGTCTTGGTGAACATGTCCTAGCCAAAAATATCCTTGCTTATTTTGTGACAATGAACACACTCTATTTCTTTGTGTTGGTGACTATATATATAGGCATTTTAAAATATTGTCCAACATCTTGCCTATTTTAAGGGCTGATCCTGACAGATTAAAGATATCTTTGAACTCCAGCAATTTTAGTGGTAACAAAATTTTTCTAATATAAACCGCAACTGCTCCATGTACAACCATCTATCCCAAATAATACCACTATACCTGATTTTGATTTATACTGACATTACTTCTCCTTTATCAGACCTATAAAATAATAAGTAAGGCTAAACTAAAAGATATAGCTTACTGTAGTCTCATTCCACACCTCCAACAGTTTAAAAAATACAGTTATAAAAGCAAAATTCTAATGAACATTCAATGTCAAGCAAAAAAATCCATCCAAACTCTAATAAAAATGTAGATGATGATGATGATGACGACAATAAATTTTATAAGAGAGTAATATACAGTACTTACTTCTCCGATGGAAGAGTCTGCTTTGCCACAGGCAGCAAATCATTTTCCAGAAGGTCCCAAATGTAAATATTAGATGATGCATCCAGGACAAAAAACACAGCAGGTCTTGTTAGAGCCCACTGCAGGGCAATAATTGGCTGCCCACTGGTGCTGTCATTCCACTGCATGAGGGGATACTCCGATGTCATTTGGTGTAATCTAATACTTCCATCTGAACAGCCAACCTGTATGATAGTCAAACAGAAAAGCTTCCTGGGAACAAAGCAGACTAAGCAAGATAAAAACTACAATTCGTTCCTGAGACTATCAAGCATGTAAATAAAATGACATATCTGACTCCAGTAGCACATGCCTCTCATGGATTTTAACTTCAAAAGCAGTAACTCTGTAGCAAGCACACTAGAGTAATCTGATCCACTAACCCTGGGGTTGAAGTCCTAATTTCCTGTTTCTAAAAAAGTTCTCAAACTATCAAATTCACTGCACTCATCTGACCTGGGGTGAGGTCAGAGCCTGGAGACCAATTCAGATGTCTCCTTAGTGATGCACAGAAACTGTAAAACCAAAAATAGCTTTCAGTAGGACAGGGCTGTGGTTAACAGTATATTAAGCTGATTGATAATGAACAACTAAATCCAGAGACAGGCAGATATCACTCCTTCCAGATATTTCCTTATAACCTGTGTCATGCCTAGTAAAACATTTACAAGTTCATTCTAATGCAGGTACAAACAAAACTACTTATTAAAACAGGAAATAACTTTTTCTTACTACCCAAGGCCACATCTATAGCCCAAACACTTCCCGGAATTTTCAAATTACGATGGCTTTATAGTGACTCTGCAAACTGTGCTTACATTTAAAAAGACTCTGCAGATACAAACTTGCAGAAGGTTGTGAAGGTATCCCCTCTAAATAAATGCTTTTGAGGAAAAGGTCAGAATATTCACACTGGCAAAAAAAGTTGTGATCACAGAGGGTCACAGAAAATACATATACCCAAACAATGTAGCCAAACACATTAATGTTGTACCTTAGGCAATCCCAATGAAGTCATGTAAATCACAGCAAATTACAAAAGAAAGCATTTTTACGAGAGGCTCAAGTACAAATACAGCAAAGACAAGCAGACAGAAAACCGTACCCAAGTTAGATTCCACTATCATGGAACAAACTTTCACAAGGGAGACAAATAAAACCAGCAGGTGTGTCGTTAGGAAGTGCTGAGAGCAGCTTGAAACACACCTGACCATGGGGTATCCTGCCAGGCACAGCCCAAGGGTATGTGTGCCTCCTGGGGAGAGGAAAGGAAAGGAAGGAATGCCCAGAGCTGCCCCACAGACCTTTATTTCCCAGCAATACAGACAGCTTTGGGTGTCTCCAAAATTATTACATCTCTAGGAGATTAAGACAAGAGTGAGAAACAGCTGAAGCTTCATTAACAGCAGAAGACTTACCTGTAAATCTGAATTTCAGTAAAAACACAGAATAAGGCTGAAGTGAGATTGCTATTTTTTTCTGTGAGCCAGATGGTCACTTTTACCAGAGCAAAGTTCGAACACCAGGACACAAGATATTTCATCACCCTTCACAGCAGGTTAGAATTACTCAGGTAAATCAACTATCACATTTAGTTAAATACATCAAATTAGAAATCCTCCCTCAGCAACTAGTTAAAAAATGAAACTTGTATTACATTAAAACGTTTTCATACCAAAAATAGTGGCTTTCCAAAAGGGAAGAAATCAATTGCGTTGATACTTATTGATCTCAGTCCGCTCTCCTGAGGTCTGAATAGCTTTGGAATAACTTTTAAATCATGTCTTGTACCATGGCCTACCAGCCCCTGCGAACAATATAAAGAAAATTAATTAAACCAAAGAAAACAAAATTTGCATTATTAGTATTATCAGAAAAAGTTAAGTAATTCACAGGCTTCTACCTTGAAAGATCTTTAACAGCTAAGAAATTTAAAGAGCTGACAGATTTTAATAATAGTCTGAAAATATAAATTTTATATATAATCTACTGGTAAAATTCCAAGAAAATGGTGCAGCTTCCAAAACAAAAAATAACAGTAAGAATAATTTCAGCACATTACTCACAATGTTTGTTCCAACAATGAAATGATTAGGATTAGAAGACAGAAACTTAATAGTCAGTGTTTGTGGCATTCTTGGACGCACATCCTTTGGGAAAAGGCTAGAAAAATATAAAAGATGACATAAATACAGAAAGTTGTCTCCGAAACCTATGCAAGGACATAAGCTCTTGATCTAAAATGTCTATGGCTAGCTCTAGAAAGAAGTGTATATTAGGAAAAAAACCACGATCAACTGAAGAAAATATTCTTGGAGATATCTTAAATAATACGAAATTAATAAAGCAAAGGAAAAACTAGCTTTGTGAGATACACATGTAAAACCTAAATGCCCTTGTTTTCTTACCTGTTATTCAATTCCATAGTAGAACTATGTACTAACTTCACCTTCCCTCCAGGAATTAAACCTAAAATTATATTAAATAATTATTTAAAGTGATTTATGGACTTGCATTAAGAGAGTGCTATCATCAAATCAAAACCTAATCTAGTAAGAGGGTACTTAATAATCAAATTGTTTATTTTAGATATAGCTTTTGATATCTAAGAATTTTCTACCATTTAGAACTCTTCAGAATTCAAATCTGAAGAGTTGTAAACTTTGACATAAACCAAAGAAAGAGGAGAGAAAAGGAAACATGATTATGTGTTTTGTTTAGTTTTACAGTATGCATATAACATCCTCTAATATCACTCTATAAAACTCAATTCTATCAGCGGTGAAAAATGCACATTTGTCGCTTGAACCTTCGACAATTATAGTGATGAGAGACTGTAATAGTGTTTCCATAAAGTTGGTCTACATTACTTGTTAGTAGAAAATAACACAAATTATTCAAATACAAAAATTTTTTGAAGAGGAAAAAAAATGAATGCGGGTGGCAGTAAAACTGTGCCAACACACCACAGGTTTAAAATGTACCTTTCCAAAGATGTAATACCCAGCTTTAGCGCCATCACAGATTTGGTTAAAACTAAAGAAGGAATAAGAGGATAGAGCAGGACATAAATTCTCCTATTCTTAGGGGAAAAAAAAAAAAAAAAAGAAAGCTGTTGAGGACACAGAAATCTGGTTAGACATTTTAAGAAATGTGGTTGTCTGGTGACAATAACCATTACAGAATTAGCAGATGAGATTCACATAGCAGTAGAAATACTTCTCATGATTCCTAACCAATAACCCTAAATATCAGGTATATGTCCTACTCAGAATCAATCTTTTCCCCAGTAATTTTGCCTTCTTCTAAATTATTTTCACTGACTCTTCATCTCTCTTCTAACTTTCTAATCTCAAAACTCAAGCATCTCTATTGAATGGTACTCACCTAAATCGGTTTGTGAACCAGCTAAATCCACTTTCTGTAATTCAACAACTACCTGAAAAGTCAATATTTAATAATATTAAGCAATAAATACTTTATTATAAATAGTTATAATAATTGTAACACAGCTCTAAAGGAATGTTAGATAGGTCGGTCTAACATTACAATGATTACAGGTAGATTCTCCATCCCCTGTCAATGCCTGCAATGCTAAAAATAGCTTCACATGCCTGTTGGATGGTCCCTGCTGGAAAGCAGAACATGGGAAGTCACATTCTACACTTAATCACCAGTTGGCATCTTGTTGGTTTGGTCAGTAACTAAAAAAACCCACCTCAAATCCCCAAATATGGAATTGTAATACATTTCCTGTGCTTTTCACTATTAACAGCACAGAAAAGATAGATAACTTGGCTTGAATCTGTTGCTACTGAAGTTACTTAGGGCTTTAAGAGACATGACTAGTGATACAGAACAGAAATACTTTTATCCCCTTATTATTCACCAAGCCATTCAGTTCCTTGAGCAAGATCAATTCAGATGCAAACAACAGGTTCAGCAAGTCAGGCCAAAGCTGCATCAGCAAAGGACTGAAAACATCTGAGACAAACACGAGTTGTCAGGACAGTAATTAAGAGCACCAGGCCTGGTGCTTGCCTGACCGTCATATTTTAGGCAGGGTAATCTTATCCACGGATTTTCCTCTTGCACATTTATTTTACAAAAATTACGAGTGTCATTTCTCACATACATTCAGTACGGTCTCTGACAATTCTGTGATTCAAATAGAATAAAGTAGGTGGGTGAAAGGGGACCAAAGTCTATTATTCAATTAATAGAAAAATGTGAACATATGCCCGTGAAGCAGAACTACTGATCAGCTGTTTTCACGAATTCATATACGTGCTAATAGTTTTGCCTAAGAATAACACCATGGCATTAAGGAGTCATGTCAAAAATTTTGCAGAGAATTCCAATGTGGCTAGTGTTGATGTACTTTTCAGGGAGGAAATTCTCATCAGAAATCCCAGATTTGTGTTGCTGTATTTAAAGAACTATTTTATTATTCCAACACTTGACACTCTCTCTTTTCATACATACACTACTCACCCACATATTGAGGATTCCATCTTCATCCATTGAAACTATCTGAAATGCTGGACCTGCCATTTCTGTGGAAGGAACAGTAGAAATTTATATTCATACACTCACCTTCATTCAGAACAACATAAAAGGATTTGATACATTTCCTAGGTTATTACATTCTCTGAAACTTCTATGAGCCCCTGAGCTCCTTAAAAAGGGAAAGTGCCCTAATTCTACCAAAGAAGAAAAAGGCATGAAACTGAGAGGGTGGTGAAACCCTGAAACAGGCTTCTCAGAGAGATGGTCGATGCCCTCAGCTTGTCAGTGTTTCAGAGACATTTGGACAATGCCCTTAGCAACACGCTTTGCCTTTTGAGCAGCCCTGAACTGGCCAGGCAGTTGGACTTGTAGACTGTTGTAGGCCCCTTCCAACTGAAATAGTCTATTCTGTATCTCTGTCTATTCTGGTATGTTCAGTTTGTCCTACAACAAAGACAGATGATCTCTGTCTGCATCTTTTAAAATGTCTGGATTCTGCATGCATTTTGGAACAGAGTGTAAAGTAAAATAAATGAATTCTTTTAAAGCCTGCAATATGCAGCACATTTCTTTGGACTCCTATGGAATTCAAAGTGAAAATCTGCATTGGAAGCAATAATGCCCCTGTAGTCTACTGCCCGAGAATTTGGGGCCATGAGGATTAAAGTTTCTTTGCAAAGGTTGGTCATAAAAAAATTGGTGAATGGCACAGGGTGAACCACAAAGTACAGTCACACACTTTAAGTCCTTTCACATATAAGCAAGTTGCTTCACTGGTTCAGGTAGGGGTTTTTTTCAGACATTACAGAAGAACCAAGACTTCTCTAAAGGTAGCTTTTGAATAATAACGTGTTTTATCACGGAAGAACAAAATATTGTTTTGAAAACATACATTACAGCAAGCATGTACTCACATCTGACGTGAAGCTGCATTGAATGAACATTGCATAAAAACAAGAGCAGAAAATAAGGATGTTGTATGCAGTTGATACTACAGACAACTTAAGAGGCAGAATAAAATTATAAATTGGATTTTGGCTATGATATATTTGTTTGTTTCCCTATATACCTAAAGAAAGACTCAGATGCTTTGAAGAGCAGCTTACATACCCTCCCGATAAGAGAGGCTTGAGAGCCCATAATTCTGATCAGCGTAGAGAGAGGTTGAGACAGGTTCCACTGCTAGTATAGGAGAGCTGTGGCTTACTGAGTTTAGAACACCATCTGTAATTAAGGATAACGAAAGTTAAATATTCTATTATTTTCAACAAAACCAACAAAACCCTAAACACTTTTCAGCTTATGGGAGAATGACGATTACAAAGACAGAATGGCAAATAAAGAACTACTACGTAAAAGTCCCAAATACAATACTGCAAACTGTTCTCTAAAATAACAAAATACTACTAGATATATCAATGTTTCATAATTTCTATTTACTTCTCATTTTCCAAATGACTGCTGCACCATTTATGTCACTGTACTAGACACTTCATTAAAATCTGCCATTTCAGGGTTACTGTGAACAGAATTATGTTTATTTCTAGCTTTGTAAACAGCAGAGGTAGAAATAAATCACTGCCTACTACAGAAAAGACAAAACTGAAGAAAAATTACTCTTCGTAGAAAGCAACTACCCTGAAACAAACAATCAACCACATGAAAATATGAGTTTCTCTCTTAATAGCATTTTAAAATACATGTACATTTAGAGCAATTTTTTATCAGATACTTTTGGTTCGTGGACTTGCCCTGTGTACTGAACTTAATTCTATTTAAGACTACAGGTGAAAAGCTTCCTAAGTGTAGGGCATTGAAATCTCCTTGCTTATATAAGAACTACATGAAACTGAATGCATACAATTGACTACTAGCCCATTGTGCACACAAGACCAAGCATCTTGGACCCACTAAAAAAATTAAAAGTCTATCAACAACCAACTAGTGTTTATTTTTACAAGGCTACTGCATGAACAAAAGAGGGGTTTGTGCGTGTGTGGTGGGTTTGGTTTTTTTCTGAAAAATAACACCACTTCAGGTAAGTTAAACGGTAGCACCTGCACACACAAAAAAGGAAAAATACATAAAGGACTTACTTTACAATAATAAAATTTACAAAAATATTGCTATGTGTTGTTTTTCACTCTAGGTGTAATGCAGTGCCAAGAGAAACGGCACTATTTTACAATTAAGATTGATACAAATGCTGGTATGTACACCTCATTCTCAATCTCTCAACATATAGCTACATACAACGAAAACACTAGTACGATTAATGACTTGCTCTTCTATTTAGATTTGCAAAGAAAAAAATTGGTAATAGGCATAAAGATCCATTCATTTCAATCAGATTCATAAAATTTTAAGGATCTCATACACCAATTCAAAGGCAGAGTGAAGTAGTCCAGATTGCATCTTTTAGGATGTCAGTTATATGTCCTAAATAAACCTCAGTAACTTTTGAATTTGTTGTCCACAGATTATAAGAAAAATTACAAAAGCCTATGTTGTTTTGATCATACATTGAGGAATCAGAAGTGTAAAAAAAAAAAAAGAGAAATGTAATGGCAAGAAAACGTCAAAGGACGAAAGGTAACCCATAAGCACTTTTGAAAATTAAACTTTCTTCTGGCTGCCCAATATGTACGCAACCCTAATTTAGGCCATATCTAAACAATGCAACAAATGAATTCCATGTTATTTTCTGTTGCTGTGCTTCTCTGCCATTAAGAACCCAGAAAAAGCATGCTATAGCTCCCAGCTGGCCCCAGTGCTAGAGATTTTGCTCACATGACAAGCTGGATGACAGAAAAACGTACATCCAGGTTTTGCTCCAACATGTGATTGATACATTTCTAGAGATACCAAACCAGAGAGCGTTTGGGCCCCAAAGTCTGGTCACAGCTTCAGAATATCTTCAGCAAAAGACTAAAAGTAACTGACTGCTGACTATGGAAGCCAGAATGCAACTTATTCCATTATGCAGGTCACCTCTCACACTTAGCCTTTGTGCATGACTTGTTTCCAATGATGCGATCCCCATATATACTAGACCAACAGTATCATAGACAGTTGTATATGTACTGAAAATAGGAGAAATTCCTAGATCTTACATTGCTACAATAATTGACAAATTGGTAATAAAAACCAAAAATCGTGACTCAACTTCTAATATATCTAGAAGTGATAAAGTTACATAAGCGGGATTTTAGAAATGTGTTGAGATTCACACCGAGGATTAAGACACTTAAAATAGTATCTACATATAAGACAGCCGTATAGTATCTGTAAGTGAACAAAATCTAATCAACACAAACTATCTGGCTAACCGTATGCAGATATATCTATTAAGAGGAGACAAATAGCTCTCTAGATCCCACGGAGCAGCGCTGCAGTAATTCTAACAGAGGTTATTGATAACGTATTTTGCGTGCGACCTTTCAGAAACCTCAACGCTTAAGTGACAATTTGTACAGATCACAAACTTTAAAGGACATTTGAAAAACTGCATTTTACAGTCTTAATTTACTACATTTTTTATTTCAAATACATCTTAATATGTGTGTTCAGATGTAGATAAAAAAGAAATGTACGCTATATTAAGGGAGATAACATGATGAAAATTGACTAAGCTAATGATTTCAGATGAGGCAATAGTTCAGTAGTCTGTTTTAATACTATAATGCTCATTAGGTTCTACATCTGTTCCCCCTCTCTGTTCTCACTGCTTCATGCATATTGAGCTGACTTAGATTTCTTTACAACTATTACTGACTGGCAATTTTTACTAGACTAAATCTAATCCCTGAACTGGCTAAACTAGGCTGAGAAAGTGTTCTTAGAAGAATTAGTAGTGAAATTATTTCGTTGCCCACAAAATGACTGATCAGAACGCATAGATACTAACCAGTGGAAAATGTTGGAACTCTAAATGTCCAGTCGGTTTCATTGATCATCATATGAGGGTGCATTCTTGAGTCTTCTCGAAGATCCCACAATAACAATGAACCATCTATTGTTCCAGCAAAAACTAATGTTGTTTTATTGGGACTAAAGCAGCAACATATCACCTGTTGAGCAGTAAAAATATGCACTGTTGATATTACGATAAAGGCAAATGATTTGATAAACCTGAAATATGTCTGTTCTTTCTAGGCATGCAAATCCAGAAAAGACAGATTACACGTGTTTGTGGCAGAAGGACAAATTATATAAAAGGGAAGTAGGATACAAGACTGATTAAACCTTCCCTTTTCAAGACAATTGTTGTGTAATCTGCATCTACTGCCACAGAGCTGAAGGGAGTGATTCAACTGCATGACAGAGATGGGTAGAGAGAAGTCCTGACAACATCTGAACCAGCTGTTTAACTTCTGTCTTACTCTTGAAACGGAGTCAAAGTTTAAACTCCATCACCATCACTACATTCTAGTACTGCAGCACAAAAAGGAATGAGAATAGCATTTTACTCACTAAGCTCAAGTGTGTTTTTCAAAGTATGACATATCGTGCAGCAAGACAAGAAAGCAAAACACAGGTAACAAAGCCTTTTATTCAATGGGAAAACATACAATGCTATTAAAACATACCTCTGAGTCACACATTAAAACTCTCTGAGGACTGGAGGGCTGCCAGATGTTCCAAACGCATATGATGCTCTTTCTGTTCAGTAAACCAACGCCTGCCTTTTCAGGTAATCCATGAACAGAAAGCAGTGTCTGCCTCTGAACTTGAGAGACATACAGGCAGGATATTTTTCGGTCTAAACCATTTAAAAAAATCAAGAAAGAAAAGTAATAAATAAAGTAGTAAACTCACTGCAGATAAAAAATCACATTTAGCTGCTATAGCAACGACTGAAGAAGCTAAGATCTAATTATGAAGAACATCTAGACTAACAGTGAGTTGCTTTTGACACTGTACAGGAAAAAAGGACGGACTCAAGAAGAAATTCAAAAAATGAGAAGCAAGTAGAAAGCAAAAAGGAAGAGAGACAGGAAGTTAATAGAATAATTATTCAGGGCATAAGCAAGACAATCTGATCTGATATCATTACAGGTACTGAAAACTAAACTAAGTGTCAAACAGGAAACAGCACAGGCCAGGCTTTTTCTGGTTCATCTCAGGTGTTCATGTTAGAATACATATGGGTTTGCGTTATAATAGGTCTTCCTAACCTAATTACAGATGCTTTATTTTTCATTTTTCTTTTCATCTGAACATCCACTGCTTACATGAGGAAGATAAAACTCCCATTCAAATATATCTCCCTGTTCAATAACCTTGTTTTATTTGAACCTTTGGCTCTCCTGTCAGCGTAAAGAGCCTAAAATCACATCCCTTGGGACAACCCTTCAACAAGAAGGGCAAGAAATTATATTCAGGGTACCTCTATATCACACTAATCGCTGGCTGCGTTTCTGGTTTCCCAGCACTAGGATGCTCTGATATGCCCTGTGTGAAACCAGTCTGCACAGAGTTACAGCAAGATTAGTACAATTAAAAGAAAAATGGGCTTTATATCATTTGTATATCCTGATAAGTGCTGTTTTCACTTCACTCATGACAAAGACTATGGTATTTTGCAAAAGGAAGAAAAGTTCACACTGCATACTAAAGGATGTAGAATAAAGTTTCCTTACCATGGAGGAATGGCTGGTTAGTATTTAACTGGAAACAGCTATCGCTAATAGACAGATTGGTTTGTTGAGATCTTAGTTTCCACCTTGGTTGTGTTGCATTTTGATCTTCCTCTAGCAAAACAGCAATCACCTTTCAAACATAATTACATTTACAGAAATAAAAGGGTCATCTCTCAGCTTTGCTATTTGTAGCTTTCTGAAGTATGTGGATTAATTTAATAAACCTTTATCAACTCTCTTTTTACTTTTATATCTTTGCAAATACAGCTTTACAGACATCAATGTTGCAAAGCTCTGGTTCCATTCCTTTGCAGAGAGATGAATCTCACTGATAATATTATCTAAGTAATTTATTTAAATTAGTCAGAACAAGCACTGTAAGTGATCTATCACCATATACTTATGCGCACAACTCATAAGGGATATTAAGTACAAAAGCATACCTGGCAAGCAGACCGCAGGAAATTTGCTAATCTCTGTGAATCAATTTTAGGTGTTAGAGCTCCACTCACAGACTTATTCTGGCTGTTTATGGGACCTAAGAAAAAAACAAGAACTAAAACCAAACTTGAAGCTTCAAAAGAAAATCAATTAAGAAAACGGTAAGAACAATACAATTTTTTAAGAAGAAGACAGTGGCAGGGATCAACTTCTCTTCAGCAGAAATAACAGTACTGAAGAACAAGATCTGTTGGGGAATTAGATGTGCTGCCAACACAAACAGCAATCCTGAAGGAAGAAACTATTTCTGCCACAAGGGGAGTCGGAGTGCCCCTAGCAGTTTGCTATCGATGAAGTCTGCCACATTACAAATTCTGACAATTAATGGGTACAAAAGAGAAAGTTTACATGCATATATCCATAAATTGATAAGATTACAAAGTTCTTCACCTCCAGATACAAGGGCAGTTTCTCCTGGGTGCTGTGTCCACTTCTCCGATGTTTCAACTTCCTCAGTCTGAATGTCTCTCTCAAGGTTGTCCTCATTACACTGCACATATGCCTAAAGCAGAAAGACAAAGTGATCAATACAGGGCTGACATTGCTAAGAATGACAGCACATAACCGAATAGAACTTAAACAGCCATTTTAACACCCGTGTGCTCAACTTCTTCTGCTTGTAAACTCAGACCTAAGCAAACCGACACAGTGTCACTATGCCGTGCTTGCACATTTTACTACATTTCACGCGAGTGCTAGACCTACTGCAAAAATACAGAATCTCTGACATGATGCACAAACGCCAAACCCAGCATACCTGGGAGAGTGAGCCACAGACATACAGGCAGTCCTTTAGAAAATGGGGAAGGAATGCCTAACGCTGAAAGGAAGTAGCCTGTTGGGTCAAAATGTTTTGATATCATTGCTTTCTCATAATTAAGGTTCTTTTCTAAGGAACAAGAATCAGCACTTTCACAATTTAAATATTACTACATATTTGTCACCAACCTGCTTAGTGTTCATTCTGCCAAAGTTCCTGATATACATGTCGTACTCATTTACAGGTGGCAAATCCACTAAAGAAAAACTAACTGAGAAATCCAGATCAATTAGCGAGAGAAGTTCTGAACTCCGTTTCCTTTAGAATTAATTACAAGAGAGAAACACAAAAATGGTGAAGACCAAGTATTTGATGTTCCAAAAGAAAAATAACCTGATGTTGTATGGTACCAGAGATCTCATAATCCATTGATCTATGCAAAGTGAAGCCATACCAAGATTAATTGAAAGATAAAAATATGTCAACAGAAGTACATATACTAACCTCATGAAGTTTTACAAGGTCAAGTGTAAGGTCCTGCATCTGGGTCGAGGCCATCCCATAAATGCATGTATCATGCAGCCTAGCTACAAACATTAATGATACATGCAAACAAATACACTAACAGGCCTCACATTAATACTTACAACCCCAAAGTGTCACAGTTCATTTATGGGATGCTTTCAGTCTATTTACTAGCAGCAATGTATTAACACAATATTAAAATCCACAAACTCTTTATCTTTCCATGAAAATGCTAGTTATCTTCACAGGCTATATATGTTGTTAGCACATACTAAGTTATATACATAGTCATAACTAGTCATAGTACATAAGCAGTAGAAGTTGACAACCATTTCAGAAGGCAATTCTTCAGAGAGATGCTCTCCTGAATTTCCTCACCTGTCTAGAGATGAAGCTTAGACAATGAACTCACATAAAGTTTGGGCATATAAATTTTGGCAAGGTGAATTAGTCTAGAAAATAAAATCTCCCTTACGTGAAGACTAGCTGCTGATGGGCAGCCACTAAGCAGTGGGATCCAGTATTATCAATAAAATTTAATATTCTTGCTTTATGTGTCCAACTGATAGAACAGAAAATTGGAGACATATACAGCGATTCAGATAAATCTGGAGCTCCTGGCAAGTTCCACAAGAAACAGGCATCAATTTGTCTCTTTAGCAGAGCTGGTTTAGATGTCTCAAATCTAGATCAATTTTAGATACGTAATAACATGTTTTTACACCAACCCGTGTTATTCCTGAAAGGGAACATGATATTTTGGCAGCAGTATGTACCACAGAGAGTCTTGATTATTTCAAGAAATTACAGTTCTGCAGAGAACTGTAAGAGCAGCTAAAGCCCTGAGAGCAGCTAAAAGGCTTGCTCTTTAGTGACTGAAGAATCATACACAGAAATAACAATCCTGGCAATTCATTCTGTAATAAAATGATATATAAAGACACACATCAATAAATTTCTGTTATGACATGCAGTAAAACTTATAAATTGCATTAAGAACTAATTATTGTTATCTTACAAAATAATATTTGACTCTAAAAGCCTCAAGTTTATAAGCTTCACATATTTCAAATATCATAAGAAAATACATCTTGCATAATAAGTGGCCATTTTGTGTGGATTATTTAAAATATACTTACTTCTGCTTACTAGCCATACTTCGGCTACTTTGTCGTTGATTTGCCATTTGAAAACCCATGAATATTCCACGAAAAGAGTTTCTGACAGAAGGGTATTGCCTTTCTGTTATATTATAAAACATTGTTAGTGTTATAATTCACACCCTACGGCGCATTAAAATGTAAAGCAGTAAATCTAAAAAGCAACAGATTTATTATGAAACAGCTACTGAAAGTTTCTAGTTTGCACATTACATCACGTGCTCTAGCACAGTTATCAGTAAAATAAGCTTCTTAACTTCAGTAATGGGCCAGCATTTTTCCCTTATTATGGTCCAATTCAAAATGACTTACCACTGTAATCTGTATTTTAGTAGATTTTGATGCAGAAAGTACCTCTTTCTTTCTCTTCCATTAGCAGGTACCTTGTTTCCCCTCACACAGTAAAATGCTTGATGACCAATTCTAAAAGTCATATTAAATTCACACAGAGTACAGCACATGCTACATCTCCAAATAAGAATTCATCACTACAGCTAACGGAGAAGCTCATCAACTCAAGCTTAACTGACACCCTTGGACAATTAAGCAAAAATTGGAAACTGTTGCTTTAAAAGCAGTTAATGGAACAATTACAATATTTGATGTAATGTCAATTTTCTGCCCTTTCTTGGCTAGGTGGTAGCTCCTTGACCTTAAGAACCTAGTACCAGTCAGGACCAATAGTGTTTCACTGCCTCAGAGGAACACTGCCTTTTTAGGTAATGCTTGTAAAATACTTTTAAACTTTTAAACAACTATTTTAAACAAAAGAGATCAAAACTTCATCAAAAAAGAGAGTGTTGTGTAATTTACAACAAAGCACTAAGAGCTACAATTTAGAATTTTAAAAACTGATTCTGTATTAGAATTCCATCCTTTCATTAGATCTATAGCATCAATGGAACTCTTGTACTGATTCCACATTGTTTATTGGAAAAATATTAGTAATTGCATAAATCTTCTGCAAGAAGAAATTTGTATTACAGCATACTGGTTCTGGCTTGCAACAACTACTTAAACAAAGAACTACTGATACTGTTGTCCTGGTTTTGGTAGAGTCAATTTTCTTCCTAGTACTTGGACAGGGCTGTGTTTTGGATTTAGTATGAGAACAATTCTGATAACACACTGATGTTTGTAGTTGTAGCTCAGTAGTGCTTGTCCTAAATTAAGGATTTTTCAGTTTCCCAGGCTCTGTCAGTGAGCAGGTGCTGGGAGGGAGCATGGCCAGATAGCTGACCCGAACTAGCTAGAGGGATATTCCATATCACAGAACACCATGACCAGTGTGTAAACTGGTGTGTGTGGGGGTTGGCCAGGAGGGTTAGATCATTGTTTAGGGACCGGCTGGGCATCAGACAGTGGGTGGTGAGCAACTGCCTTGAGCATCTCTTGTCCTTCTTGGGTTTTATTTCACTCTTGTGGTGTTACCTTCCATTTCATTACTATTACTATTGTCATAATTTTTAAATTATTGTTATTATTATTTTTTATTTCAGTTGAGAAACTATTCTTAACTCACGAGTTTTACTTCATTTTTTCGATTCTCCTCGCCATCCCACTGGGAGCAGGGAGGAGTGAACTAGTGTCTGTGAGGTGCTTGGCTGCTGGCCACGACAGTGGTAAAGACTTACAGAAACTCCACACTATTGTTCTGTGACCATACTAACCTTGTGTGAACTAGAGCAAAAGGCTGTTTAAGATTCTTTTGCACACTAATTCTATATTTCCATTCCCATGAGTGGAGAGTGCAAAGGTGACCACAGCTATACGTATTTAACTAAGTAGATGTGGCACTCACAGGTGTCAGACCAACTGAATACAAGACAATTTCACAGTCATAATTCAAAAAAAAGAATTAATTTTAGAAGTCACATAGAACTATATATTTAGGTAGTATCTGTAATTATCTTGCATTCTCACCCACAGCAGTGGCTTCAACTTTGCTTAAAAGAAAAAAGAGAATTAATGTCACCAGAAGCCCCAAACTGTTCTAGCACTCCTCCAGTTTTCAAAACACAGACTCTCATATCCTCCTCTTACCCAAAATAAGACACGCTAAATGTCAGTCTGTACATTTTTATACTTCACATTTTAAATGATTAGTAATGCCTCTGAATCATTCTTTAGCAACGTGAAAGTTACAGTACTTACCCACAAACCTAAGTGACTCATCCAGAGTGGTTTGTTTACTCCTGAGTAGTACTAGTTATTCATACATTTAATGTAAAAGGACTGGTATCTAGTCACATACCCATGACTGGTTCCTTTTTTTCATTTTCAATTTTCTTTGGCAGTGAAGTACAAATTCTATCATTTTCTGCAATAATTGCTCTTTGAATTTCTTCGATTTCTGACGTTTTGGAAAATGGAATCTCTCTCATGTTTTCTTCTGCATCTCTTTCTTCATCATCTTTGTCTTCATCATCATCAAAATCTTCTTCATAATCCTTTAAAAGCAACAGGACGTTCAATAACTAATATACATGGATTATAAATTTATTTTTCAATATATTTTTAAGAAATTATAAAATGCTGTCAAAATAAAAATAATATTCTGATACAGATGGCTATAAATCCTCTGACTGAAACGCATTTTAAAACTGTTTGACAGAAAGAAATGGCATTGATTGTGTGGTAATTTTAATCAAGAAAAGATAATCCCACAGAGTTTTTGCTTAGTGCCTCAAACCCAAAATAGACTCCTTTTTTTTTCATTTTTAAATATCCTAAAGCAGAATATTAAAGTTTAGGTGAATTATATATTCTTTAATGAAATAAAGTGAGAGTGTTCAGTGGCATAAATGCTTCAGAGATGTATAAAGTTTTTTATTTGTTAGTTTTAATTCAAGCTGCCCTTCAATGGCAGTCCCAAATTTACTAAACTATCACTCTACCTGTTTGCAAGCCCATGCATAAAGTTCACGACAATTCCTCTCATGCTAAAATAATGCCCTAACAGAAATGATAGAAACAAGTCTTAAACGGGCTCATTTCTCTCCACTGAATGGTAAAGGGCTGCTACAGTGAGCAGCTCACCAGTGGACACCACTCCTGTCATCAAGCGGAGACAAATTGTGGCTTCGCTGAACAAAGGTGTAGCTGGTTCAGCTAGCAATGAAAGCACTTTTAACACACTCTTCTATCTTAATAACTTTAAAGTAAACAAAAGAGAGCTAAAAGAGAGTTCATTTAAACAAACTAGTGAAAAGACTGATGTGTGTTAATAGCTTTTTCCCCGACATTTTTGCAAAGAAAAATGAGTGGTTTGTTTCCTCCTGAAATTGATTATTTACTCCCATTATTTTAAACACTCAGCATTTTTCATAGATAATCATTTAAATAATTGAAACCCAGGGAGCTGGAAAGAGTATCTCATGAAGACTTCAATTCAAAAGCAAAAGCTGGTTCCCAAATCCTGATGAAAATTAAGTAAACATATAGCAGAGAGTTTCTACATAACATTTTAGTTACTCATTTTCTACTGTAAGCCAAGTTAAGGACACTTTCACCAAAAAAGAATAAGTAAAAATCAGATAACATCCTGTAATTTCTATTTCTCTGAATAAACTTAATCACTGGTTTGATAGCTGATAATCACATCAAAAGGACAATTGTATTTTTTCACTTACTTCAAAATCATCTTCGTAATTTGCTGAGAAGTTATCAAATCCCGTGTCTGGATTATAGACGTGAGTATCTTTCACTTCCTAAATGAGAAGGAAATTTAGGGACATGTAAGTCCTCGCCAGAGACAATTCCCACCTAAAGGTGAGCCGAATCTAGGCCTTGAAGATCAGCATCAATGCCAGCTGCTACCTGGAACCTCAGCTGTTGGAAATGATAGAGGAAGAGAACAGTTTGAACATATTTGTTGATCCAGATGACTCTTTGCCACAGCAGTATGAATTTCGCAGACTAAATCTAAGAATCTGTCAGAAAGCGACTTCTTTCCGGAACAGGCAAGTATTTATGTCATGTACAGCATTACACAAGGCACTGCTGAAAATTCTCATTCAGTACTCTGTTCAATCAAGAAAAATTAATGCAAATTGAAACAGACAAAGAGACAGCTCCTAAAACAATGAAAGGGATAGAGAATTTGGCTTGTATAGATGAATTGGTCAGCAAAATTGAGCTCATGAGGGGACGAAAACCCTGAAAAAGTATTTGAGCTAAATGTTAGCACTAAAGCAAGAATAGTGGAAACATACTGGAAATTAGAAGAACATAGAGGTCTCAGAACATCCTCTAAAGAGAAGTACTTCTGGCATGAAGACAGACAGCTTTTAATATCAGTTTGTACAGTTTCAAAACATACATGGCTGAAAGATATGTGAAAGTTAGAAGGTTGCCCATAACATTAGACTATGGAAAAGGGTATCTTCATTAGGTACTACTACTTTTTCCTAGATCAGGACATAATCCTACAACATTCCAAAGCAGAATTTGGATTTTAGGGGATGGTTATGAACGGTTGAAAATATAAGAAAATATTAAAAAATTTTTTTTTATGGTAAAATTAGGCTCTATCTTCACAGACTGGTCCAGCTAAACCTGAGTCTATACAGCTTGCACTTCAGACTTGCTGAAAACTTGATTCTGGCTGGACCTGTTCATTTAATCATATAAAAATACTTTCCTCTTCCTTACAGCAACTGTTTTAAGAGACATATCTCAATTACATTGCTAGCTGCATTTTACTTAGCTTACACTAAATATTTTTTGCCCATGTCAGCTGTTTACATAAAGAAATAATATACTGTAGGTATGTGTAGATGATTTGTATTACATGTCCAAACTCTTCCCACTTAATTGAGAATTATTTTTTCAAAACCAGAAGATACTGAAATACAGTTGAAAATGCCTAGCATATTTATACAGAATAAAGGAATTTTCTAGTGCTGTATCCAGAGAGAAAGGTTAGGATACATATGAAGACCAATATACATAAATCTTACTTTATCTTAGAACGGCATTATATTGAAATGCATATTGTAATTATGTACTGTAATTGTTATCAATCCCAAGAAAATATGCAACATTCTAAGTTTCAAAACCAAATAGTTTTACCTCTTTTTTTGTGTTCCTTTCCTCCTTTTCAACGAGTTTTCCTTTATCTTTTACAGTCCTAATGAAAAAAAAAAATCAATGTTACTGGTTAACTCAGAAGAAAGCACTAGTTTTGTTTTAGTTTTGTTTTCTGAGAGGTTTTGTTTGTTTATTTTAGAAAAAAACACATCTTTTTTCCTGAAAAGAAAAAGAATTGTTGACAACTTCCAATAAACTGAAATATTTCTGCAACTACTTTTATAGATCTCCATGTATGATGCAAAATGTTAATGAAGCAGCCAAGAGATTAATGAGCCAAGAACTGCAAAAATGTCCAAATTTATAACTGCACCAAAATGGAAGAAAAATAAAGGAAGAAACAGCCTATGAAACTTACGCAGCATCTATTAGTTGTATCACTATCTGCAGCAAACTGGAGATCAAAATCAGGTTGGCGTAATGTGCTCTAAAACTATAAATCAGACAAACATTCAAACTTCATCTTTCACTCAGGGGTTTCATTTATGAGGACAATATAATCAGGGTCAGAGAGCAGGAGAAAATCACCAGCCAGGTCTGTTCCTTACCAATCAGTCTGATTATTTTATAAATAGAGTATTGGACTTTCAGAAGAGGATGTTCCGACTTCTTAAGTAAGAGGGTGTTCATATATACTGCTCACAGGACTGATGAATGTAAGAAAAGGCAACAATAACAATTTGGCTGGATACCCTCATAAAAATCAGAATGATTCTATGCTGACGGTGCTTGAGGATGAACCAGGGTTTGGGGACAACCCACTGAAGCACACTCCTTTCCTTTAGAAAGAGTAACTCCTTTTTCCCAGCTACGCACAAGCAATGACTCCCCCTCAACAGCCCAGCAGCAACAGCTTCAAAATGTAACCTGTTTACCTGGCACTGCTCAACACAGTTGAGCCCTGCTGCTAGGAAGCTTCCTAACACGTACTTTGAAATACTTCAGTTTTTTCTTTTGTACAGGAGTATGCTTCCACAATTAACAAATTCACTACAACTAAAGTGATCTGTCCTATGCTTAAGAAACAGCGGTAATGCTTAGTCAACAGTGGCAGTGACTTCCCTGTCTCTGTGTCAGTGTCCCCAGAAGCCAGCACGGCAGTCTTCTGCCTAGCTAGAAAGCTACATGAGGGTTTAAGAATGAGAATTGTGACTGACAACATACCTTCCCAGTTATACTTCAGAATCTGGACCTTCACATGACTTTAGCATTAAGGAATGCAAAGAGAAACAGAAGGTATGGAGAGCTTGGATAAGATTTTATATTTGGTAGTAATAAAAGTTAGAAATATGCTGAAATTTTACCGATCCTACTGAGGATGACCTGAACCTTTCCTTCTCACATACAACAGTAAACTTGCTAATGTTTTAAATACCACCCAGAATAGGAACTAATTAGAGATATTCAGATTAAAATAAACAATGTAACAGAGTCCTGCACAGTTCATCATTAGCCTTACATATGTCCACACAATTGCATTTCCAGGTGGTACAACAGCATTTCTGTCTCACAAACTAAGTGCCCATATTGATATATATGTAGTATGCAAGAACTGCAAAATACCTCTTGCTATCCTGGTGAAAAAAAAAAAGAATACAAATACACACATTTTCATATGAATCCTCTTAGAGACAAACTACAGATTTTTAATTTTTTTCATTGCTATAACATTGTACAAAGGAGCTATGAAAAAAAATAATATTTACCCTAGATATTTAAGATCAAGAATCCATGTTTATTGTTTTGGTGGTGACTGAATCTTAACAGATACCATACAGTATATTTACCTTGAACGGTGATGGCTCATTTCTTCTTGAATCCCCTCTTTGTTTTCATATTCAATGTTCTGTAAAAGTCACAATATTCATGTGTCAGAAATGCTGGGAGGAAATACGTATATGAACTTGTATTAGCAGTAGTGAAAGTAAATAGTAAGAAAGGTTTCAAATTAATTATTTCAATGGCACATACTATTTTTTTTGTCAGTCAGTGCTTGTTAGAAGTTGGGTGTATGAACTAACATCAGAATAGTCTCCTTCTTACAGATATGGTAAGCAAAGAAAATAAACATCTATAAAATCTATGCCAGACACGTAATATGAGCTTCTCCTGAAAACATTAAATACTTGGGAGTGAAGTTTAGCTACATCCCCTTCTGCAATGCATTTCAGAAAGAAAATAAGATGGAACCTTGAGTTTTCTCCTTTGCTTAACAGAACCTCATAATGCTTTACCAGAGCAAATTCTGTCTTTTTCATAGGATACCTTCACATTAGTTTGTTAGTAACAATGGTTAAAAAATGCTCTCGGCCCAGTGTACACTGCTTAAATTGTGAGCCTGGAGCACTTTCCTAAATAACCCCTAGGTGTGGCAGAAAAAACGGTAGGGACTAAGATGCTGACCTCAGTAGGCTGTGGCCAGCTTGTTTCAAAGAATGAGATTTTAATAGTTGGGCAGAAAACAGTCTCAGGCCCTTTAATCCTCCACATAGGGACTTGACTCTTAACTTCTGTATTATGAAGGTTTGCTTAAGTTTGAAAATGTATTCAATAGGTTGTTTAAGATAAAGATGTTTTCTTTATTCATGAATGTTAGAAAAAGAAACAGAAGCACCAGCCCATATATTCTGCAGCAGCTACTTGAGTAAATCTCCAAAGTTAAACCTTGCGCAAGCTCCTGACAGAGTTCTGAATTCTGATGCAGAAAGTCAGTTACAGGAATCACTTGTGGCAGGCCCCTACAATGAAAATACATAGTATTTTCACTAGAAAATACAATTCTGTACTTCTTTTTGGGAAGCTTGTACATCTTCACTGCAGCAGAAGAAACCACCCTAGACCAATTGAATGGTTCTATGTTCCATAAGACTTATCTCATTCTAAGAGTTACAAATTACTATGTATTTCTTCTCTCATTCTTGTAGAATGAGTAGTTGTATTGTAAAAAAACAGTAAAAAGCGTTAAAGTTTTAATTAAGTCTCTAGGATATAATATCATGCTCTGTATTAGAACCAGAAAAAATATTCAATGGCTACAGAAGTAAAGGCAAAACTCATAAATACAAGGGATCTATATTCACTTGTCCACCTTTGAGGTAGACATCCATTCTCCCTTTATATATAACATAGAGAAAAGCTTCTATTAACATAATACTTTTTTCCACAAAGGCAGCCAACACGTTTTAAGGGACCTCTAGTCTAATCTCATCTCCACTTTGAAGTGTTAGCAAAAATTTCAAAAGTCACAGCAATAAAGAATTTTATGAATAAAAGACATTTCTAATATATAAACAGGTTTCCAGTTTAAATTTCATAGAAGGAATCAGTTCTGGGTTAGGATACTTAAATGCAGATGTAGTACTTTAATCTACCACTTAAGCCTCAAATTTCAGGAAATGCTGACTTACAATCCTAGCAGTTATTCAATGCATCAATGATGATATATCAACAATTAAAGTAAGTTATAAGGTAATGTTTGAAAGTCTTAACAAAACTAACCATTAGATCACGCTTCTTTCTTTCATTGTCTCTACCTTTTACCCTCTCATTAATTTCTGCTGGTTGCTCTTCTCTGTCTCCATGGGAAGATCCCTCTTTAGATCTCCTTGATTTATGTTTTCCTTCCTCTTCCTTTTCATAACGTTTATGACTTCTCTCTTTTGAAATCCTTTCTTTTCCTGGCCTAAAAGAATGTTCTTTTTTTTCTCTGTGTCTTCTTTCTCTCTCTTCGTCCAACTCCTGATCTTTCTGTAACTTGTGTACAAGTTCACCTTCAACTTTGTAGCCTAAAAATTTGTCAAAGCTCTTTCTAGTGTCATTATCCTGGAAAGAGACAAAAAGTACTAATGAGTTAGAAAGTTCTCCAAGACTGTTTTAGCTTCACAAATCTATCATTTTTTTCACCATTAGAATTATGGATTTTTTTTTTTCTTTCTGCAACATAGATCTTCTAGTCATTTTATTTTTAATCTCCTATAAAGGCAAGTTTCAAATTACATATCACTTGAGATTCTGATATTTCTTCTGGTACACTGTGTACTTAGCTACACAATTATGTATTCTTCATATAAAAATTTAATTCTTTGTTTACTACGTGGTCTAACAAAATAAGATGTATACTCACCAATGTCCTTGTAATAGACGCATAAACAGTAGATGAAAAATTTGGAAGGAGCTGTACAAAAATAACGTTTGCTATGCAAATTTTAGTTTACTTCTACTTTTTAAAAAAAGAATGAAGTATGTTCTTAACATAGAATGGCCCAGATATATTTTGCTGTTGTGTGTTTCGTACACTCGCGAGTACCTTACTATTTAGGCATCTCTTGGATTTCTTGGGAACTGGAGTGTGATACAGTTTCTTCATCACTCTACAATTTTATCTTATTCCATTAAATACCTCACGCCCTTCCCTTCCTTTACCTTCTTTTCTGTATGTCTTCTTTCTCGCTCTTCATTTCTTGTTTTCTCCTCCTCTAGAAAATACATGTATAAATTAATGAACTGATTTCACTGTACTCAAACTCATGACTTTTGCTTGTAGAGAAAAGTGACATTTCTAAAAATAACTTAATATTCTGTGGAAATTCTCTCTCCAAAGCTGGTTACTCCTTTTTCTTTCCTCATGAATCCCTCTGTTCTCAGTTGTCTTGTGTAATGGTAAGAGTAATGACAAATGCTACTAGCTTCAGCAATCACATTGCAACCTGGGCATTCAAATGGATCATTCAGTAAAGAATGTCTAGGCAGGAAGGTACTTACTCTCTTCAAGTCAGCCGACCAACAAAACCAGTGACGTTCACCTTCTCTTCAGATGAAAAAAAAAAGCATCAAAATTTTTAAAAGCACCAAAATAAATCCAGATTACTACAAGATTCTGTAAAGATACACATTTCAGTAGGTGCTCACACCTGCTTGTCTTTATCCTCTCTGTACAGATGGGGGTGTGGTTTCAGAGTATCTCTATCTAAATATCAAATACTTCAAAGTACAACAGCAACCCAAAAGCAACTTACCCAAATGAGGCCTACTTTCTCTTCTCCTGTGATATTCTTTATCTCTTCCTTCAAATGACTTCAGATTGCTTTGTGTATCTGTTTGCCTTATCTCATGTCTTCTGTGCTTTCTGTCTCGTTCTTTCTCGCTCTCCCTGTCTTTATATTTGGGGACACTGTATCTTTCCTTCTCCAGACTTGACTCCCGAAGCTTATTTCTGTATCTCTCTCGATCTCCTCTCTGGTGATCTTTTCCCCTTTCTTTCTCTTTCATTTTATCACTGTCTCTTTCACCAGATTTAAATCTCTCTCTCTCCGTTGTTCTTTCTCTGCTCTTCCCTCTGTCTTTGCGTTCATGTTTATGAGCATCTGTGTCATGAAGAGACTTCTCTTTCAGCCGTCTCTTTTCTCTGTGCTTTTGGTCTTCATTTTGACTATCAGGCTGTGATGCCTCAAACTAAAAAAAAACGACCGATCAACCAAACAAAAACCAAACAAGTAGAAGTTAAAAATCTATTATTATAATTCAGCAATTTATTTGGATATAGCGTATAAATGTGGAAAAAACAAACAAAACACATAGTGAATTGCTAACTATGAATTTTATTTCCCAAACTGTATTAGGGAATCACAGAATTGTTGGAGTCGAAAGGGATCTTTAGAGATCACCTAGTGCACCACCCCCCCCACTAAAGCAGGATCACCTAGAGCACAATACACAGCAATGCATCCGGGCAGGTTTTGATTATCTCCAGGGGAGATTCCACAACCTCTCTGGGCAGCCTGTTCAAGTGCTTTGTCACCCTCACAGAAAAAAGTTTCTCCTCACTTTTAAACGGAACTTCCTGTGTTCCAGCTTGTGTCCATTGCCCCTTGACCTGTCACTGGGCACTACTGAAGAGTCCAGCTCCATCCTCCTTCCACTTACCCTTTAGATATTTATAGACTAAAATTCAGATATATTTCTAGGCTTACTTTTCCATACTTACTGCAAAAAGAACTAATAAATTAAATAAGTAATAAGCTGCATTTTCAATGTATTTGAAAAGAATTCAGTAAAAAAAGGAAAATTTACTGTGGAACTGTGCGTTCAGTTTAGAGCTTGGTTGAGAAATTAACTAAACATTTTAACACCATTAGCCCATGCAGACAGAAACTGTGCCATCTTGTAAAATATGTTACAGATATAAATAATAATGATAGATAACTGGGCATCCTACAGCTGCCTTTAGAATAGAAGAACTTTTATTTTAACAGAAAGCAGCATATAAAAACTATAGAAGAAAGGTTTTGGCTTAGATCCCTTAATGATACAACTATTCTTATATTTTTCTAAAGTCAAGAGATTTTATTTCAACCTTTCTGAACCAAGTAGCACAACGCCCACTGATTTCACTGCATCCACGATTTCAGCTATTTACTCAATGCAAAACACACAGAACTTGCTTTGAATATAGTCAGTGAGTAAAGTGAATTAAACTTTATCCATCTGTTTCACAGAAATGAAGGTCCAATCATATCACATCCATTCAAACTAAAACATTTCAACTCAAATTTGTTTGCTTTAGCCTACATAGAAGTAATGGAAATGTTACTGAATATCTAAAAATACAAAGCACTTATACTGTAGCACTGGCACTGAAATACTGTGGAGTTTTCAGATGTAATTGATCGAAAGCCAGGTAACAGATTAACAAGTAGGATGCTTTAGTTGATCAAAGGACTAATGAAGATCTGTGCAAGATATGGAAAAAAAGATACATACTGGAAAACACCTCTTAAACACAGCACAAAACCAATATGATTATCAATGGTGTAACTGACTGGAGCCTGAATGCTTATTTGCCCAGCTGATAAAGTATTTAACCAGTTTAAAAGTGCATGGCAAACATGATAGATGATGATAACACAATACACAACGTACTTGTGGGAAAGTGAGTAACTATATATAGAGCAGAGCTCTAACTTGGATTTGTGCAGCCAGCAAATCAGAGCCCATTATGTGATCTGTGACTACCATACGAACAGTATTTTTTCTATGTACTTAATTAAGAAATCTGCAGAGTAATCTTACATGAATTGTGTAGCTAGAAACAGTTGAGTGGGTCAGCCTCTGGACGCACTTGGACTACACAGAACAGTCAAGTTTGTGGCAAGGAAGTCAGCAGTTACATATTAAAGATCTGGATTCAATGATGCAGACTTAGAGTGTCTGGTGTACAAAAAGCCCTAAAGAACTAATATAGATCCCATCAAGCAGGGTGGCTACTACAACAAGTAGTCAATGCTCTATGTTTAGACCATCAGTAAATTCCACAGCTGTAAGGTAACAACACGAAAACTGGTAGAGATAAAATATAATCACCCTCAGATGTTTCCTAAGTTCTTCTGACTTCCAAGTATCTTCTTTGGTTCTTCTCTAGAACAGAAAAGACAGCAAAAGACTGAGTAATCAATCTGCAGAGAGAAGTAAATAATTTAACAATTAACAGTTTTTTGAATGAAAGGATCAAGGTACATATGGCAAGAACCATTGAATTTTGTAATGTAAACATTAATCTGATTTAGCCCCAGTGTGTATACTTGCAGTGCACAGGATCTCCCTGGACCTGGAAGAGGCCTGAAGCTCAGGATTCTGCTGAGTTATCCAGCTCTGTACACACATAGTAACCAATTCGGAGGTGAGTGCCTATGGTGGATAGCAGTGCTTCCCTTCAGGGAAGACTTAAAATTGGTCTTCTAATGATAGACCAAATGGGTACACACGGCCAGGCCATGCTTGGAAAGTGATCAATGTGTCACAGTCATGATTCAAGACAGTCACTGTGGCTTTACCAAGGGCAGGTCCTGCCTGACCAACCTAGTGGCTTTCTATGATGGAGTGACTGTCAGTGGACAAGAGCAGCAGATGTCATCTCCCTGGACTTCTGCAAGTCCTTTGACATGGCCCCCATAACATCCTTCTAAGTTGGAGACATATGGATTTGATGGGTGGACTGTTTGGCGGATAAGGAATTAGTTTGATGGATGCATCCAGAGGGTGGTGGTCAACAGCTCAACATCCAGATGAAGATGGGTGTCAAGTGGTGTCCCTCAGGGGTCCATACTGAAACCAGCACTGTTTATTATCTTCATTAATGATGTAGACAGTGGAAGCAAGCACACTCTCAGCAAGTCTGCAGATGACACCAAGCTGAGCAGTGCAGTCAACATGCCAGAGAGGACAGGATGTCATCCAGAGGGATCTCAACAAGCTGGAGAAGGAGGCCCATGTGAACATCATGAGGTTCAATAAGCCCAAGTACAAGGTCCAGCACCTGGGTTGGGGCAATCCTCATTACCAATAGAGGCTCAGGGATGACGTGATAGAGAGTAGCCCTGCAGAAGAGGACTTGGGGGTACTGGTGGACAAAAAGCTGGACATCAGACAACAATGCACAGTCACAGCCTAGAAGGGCAATCACATCCTGGGTTGCATTAAAAGAAGCATGGCCAGCAAGCTGAAAGAGGCGATTCTGCCCCTCTGCTCTGGTGAGACCTCACCTGGAGTACTGTGTCCACCTCTGGAGCCCTCAACACAAGAAGGACATGGACCTGTTGGAGCAAGTCCCGAGGAGGCCACAAAAATGATCAAGAGGGCTACAGCACCTCTCCTGTCAGCACAGGCTGAGAGAGTTGGGGTTGTTCATCCTGGGGAAGAGAAGGCTCCGGGGAGACTTTTTAGTGGCCTTCCGGAAGGGGGCTACAGGAAAGCTGGTGAGGGACTGTTTACAAGGGCATGTAGTAAAAGGATGAGGAACAATGGTTTTAAACTAAAGCAGGGTAGATTTAGACTAGATATCAGGAAGAAGTTCTTTACTATGAGGGAGGTGAAACACTGGCACAGGTTGACCAGAGAGATAGTGGAGGCTCCATCCCTGAAGGCATTCAAGGTCAGGCTTGATGGGGCTCTGAGCAAACTGATCTAGTTAGAGATGTCTCTGCTCACTGCAGGGAGGTTGGACTAGATCACCTTTAAAGGTCTCTTCCAACCCAACGCATTCTGATTAGGTTCGACCTCCTGCAACCTCCTCCAACCTCAAAGTCCTGGTCAGAGACTTACTTAGGTGAAGTATTAGTATCTCTAAGGTTGGAGGTTTTCTGGGCAACCTGGGTCTTGGGTTTGACCACACTCAATTAAAAATGTTTTCTTTACACAAAGTCATAATTTCCCTTGCTGATAGAGCCACTACCTTCTCATCTCACTGTACATCTCGGAGAAGATTTTGGCTCCATCTTTTCCACAGATCCTCTTTAGACACTTGAAGACAGCAGTTAGATCCCCTCTTAGTTTGCTGTAGCCTGAACAACAACTTAGACCCCTTCCCACATACATCAGGGCTCCAGCCCCACAGCCACCTCAGTGCCTCACTCTAAAATATTTTTAGAACCAGGGGCCTAAAAAACAGACAAAGGGCCCTGCAAGACAGGGCCTCACAAGGGCTGA